TCTCATAAAGTATTTTTCTGAGGTCTGTCTTATCAGGTAAATTACTGTACACAGTGTATTCATTAATTTTCGTTTTCATGTAGTAAAGGCTCTATGCTTTCATAAAGTACGTACTTTTCCTTTGTTTAAGGATAATTGAGCAGTTTATTCTCTGTTGTATTCTCCAGCAAACAATACATACAAGTACAGTACACTCTTTTCTGAGGAAACACGCATACTTATCCTTTTTTAACCCCATTCCCGATAACCCGGCATTTTCACAAACTTGGCCACCCTTCGGTCCACATTAGGCCGAGTTTTCGAGGTTCTACTGTACATAGATGTCTACAGTAATTGTTTCAAACTACTTATTGGATTATTATTCCATAATTCAATTAACATAAGCTTATTTTATATGATGCTCATTTTAGCATCTACGGCCTTGTTTTTTGTGGCATTTGTATATCCGCTTTAAAAAAGACATCACTTTTATGCATTTATTCTCTTGAAGATTATTCTAATAATGAAATTATTTGTAAATGTGAATATAAATATGAAAATATTACATATATACAAATATTATATATGTTACTGTGAATGACCAATATCTGGGGAATGTCAACATTCTCTGGTGAATGTCTGGTGTAATATCAACATTCTCTAATTTTGGTCTTTCACAGTAACATATATATACACTAATAATACTAATATTGTATACAATTAAGTGTTGTTTTTTATTAATGAATTAAAAATCATACATTTTTAGGAGCACCAGATCATTCAAATTCTCCAATGGTATCTGTAATGAATACACCTCGCAACCATCATGCAATAGTCAATGGGCCACACAATTGTTATCAAGAAAGAAGTTTACATCAACATATGAGTTTATTAAATCATTCAAAATCTGTTGCAGCTCCTAATATGTCATCATTGAGGCATAAGGTAAAGTTTATTTAATTTATTATTCTTGTATTAAAATATAAAATCAATTTCTTTAATTAAATTATACAGTTGACATTCAAATAAGTTAGACTTTGTTATGTTGAATTTCTCATTATGTTAAATTTAATTTTATCCCAATATAACCTATAAATTTAATGTATTTTGTGTGTTTAAGTTGAAATGTCTTCACTAGCTTGAAATTTATTTATTATTTGATTTCATGTACTTTGTGTTGTTTTTCAAGGGAATACAGTCTATTACTGTATTAACACAAACAAAAATGATTAGGTTCACTTGATAATACAAACTTGTTTTACGTATTTTGACATATTGTCCCTAAATATATTAAAAAAAAAAACTAACAGTACTTTGTGTCTAAGATAACAATTTTATTCTTAAGTAGCAAATTGGAAAATTAAATCTTATGGATAGTTGTTTTCTTAAATTTTTAAAATTATTTTGAAAATATATAAATACTGTATAACAAAACATCTGCATTTTGACAGCTCACTGATTTATTGGTCTGTCAGAACCACATTTGTTTACACTTTTTACCTTAGAACTAAACACTCAAATAAATTCAGCTATAAAATTAGGACTATTAATGCACATTATTGGTACCAGTGAGCAATAGATAAGTGTTTTGGACCATTTTCATTTTGAAGTAGACAGAAATGGTGTGCAGAAAGAGTGTCCATATACAGGCAGCCCTCGACTTTCGCACAATTTGCTATTTTGCACATTTTTAAAAATTCAACTTTTTAAATATTTTTGTCAATAATTAAAAAATTTACTTCCATGCAGAATGCTCGTACACTACAAAGTGCAATAGCTTGCTCTACGTTCTCGGACACATATTACTTCCTACAATAACGGACTTCTTGGAATCCTAATCACTACTGTGTTATTCCAAACAAGAGGTCAAAACAGTTTGTCTTGCATTACAGCGTGCATCAATATGTTGTGTGTGTTTTGCCAGTTTACAGTGGGTGATCAGTTAATGAACATAATCCATTCCAAGACTTTGCTCGCTATCCGAATTGTTCATTAACCAATTATTGGTTTACCATAGGTTTTTATGGAAATTTGATTAATTTTTTCTGGAAACCCCAAAAAATAAAAAAATGTATGCTTTCTTACTACATTTATTTATATGTAATAATAAAAATACATATATACACAGTCTTGCATTTTTATTAGTCATGTTTTTTTCGTTTGTGATGGTTAAAGAATCTGTCTAATGTTGATTGCTTTTCTCTTTTCTTCAAGATTTTTCAGAAGTAATTAATATCATTGTAATTGTAGAGATCCCTAAGCCTATTAACCTCAACCTGGTTTGTATGCCATTCTAAGACCGCTGTTCTGACATCCTCCCACTTCTTCAAAAAAATGTTTAATAGCAGATATTGACATTAATCCTCTTTTTCAGAAGAAAACATGTCTCTCCAACTTTCTTGGTGTTCTTCATTCAATGGTTCTTGGCATTATTCTGTCATCAGATCAGTTTCAGATTTCATTATGAGCTCTTCAACGTTCTTATTTTTCAGATGTGACTTTTGTTAATCCTTAAGCTGCTTGAGTCTTCTTGATAATACGGTATCTTTCTTAGATAAGATTGAACTGTGGCCTACTGTAGACCTGTTCAAGCCATACTGTCCAGTAACATCAGACATCTTTTGCCCACTCTATACCTTTGCTATTATACTCTCACCTTTTCAAAATAAAAACCAACACAAAGCTTAACGAGTGCCCACTTGACAGTCACGCAAACACTATAAAAAAATTTGTTTCTGTCAGAAAAATAAAAGAAGGCTGGAATTATAAGGGAGAGTTTCAAAGTTTGAAGGAATACTATGCGATCAGTATATATCGTGCTGAGTGTCGATGTCGACATCTCCCGTGCTCCAAAAAGTTTTGAATTGTTGTCTGAAGACAAGGGGAGACCAATAGGTATTCATTATTTTGTCATTTCTTATTGTGTTTGTTCTGTGAGGTGTTTGTTGTCCAAATGTAAAAATCTTTCATGAAAGTGTTTATTATCCGATTTGTTTGTTAACTGATCACTCACTGTATTTGTTTGTTTAAATATTTTGTCCTTATAAATTGATAAACATGAGTGAGAAACAGAGAAACTGCAGTGTTGATACGAACAGAAAGAAATTAAAGACTCATAAACTTCATACGATCAAGACAAAGATAGAAATAATTAAACATTCTGAAAATGGTGAATTTTTTGTTTCAATTGGACGTTTGTATGATGTAAACAGATCTATGATATGTTCAATTTTGAAAAATATGAGTAAAATTAAGGAATACATTCGAAATTGTGGAAATATATCTTCAAAGATTGTTTCCAAAAGACACGGCATGTTATAGAAATCTTTATCAAGAAAAAGAGGGGTGGTATTCAATTAACTCTTGACAAGTTTATAAAGAAAGCATCCGAAAGCACTTAAACACACCTCATTAACTTCATTATGTATACATATTGATAAATATTTTAAATCACAGTTTTTGGTGCATATTTTTTAGATCCCTCTCCTTTTGAACATTCAGCATTTGCACACACTTTCAGAAACCAATTATGTGCAAAGTCAAGGGCTGCCTGTATATAAAAAAGCAAAAAAGAAAATTATCATCAACTGTGAAAGAATTTGGGACTTTGAGTACTCTATCTGAAAAATAAGTAGGACATTTTTTGAAAAATTTGTTCTGTCTGGTTTCAGACAGAACAGAAAAGATGCATGATTGTGAGTATCTAGATGTTTTTGCATCTGTTGTTTCTTCATTGTACAGACTATTTCAAGGTTTGTGTAATGCAGAATAAGAATATTCTTGTCAAAAGAAGGTTCTCAAAGAACAATTTGGACAACAGTTATGACAAAGAATTCAAAGCAAGCAGCAAAATGAAATAGTTTTCAACAAAATCTGTAGTGAAAGTGCAGAAATATAAGATAAACATTGTTGGAATTGTCTGAAAATGCTTCAAGAAATTTTAGAATTAGCTTCAACATTTTTAATGCAGATGAAATGGACTTATTTTTTAAGTGTCTGTTGAGCAGGACAATGGATTTTAAGGATAATGCTTGTAAAAAAAGATTTTTTAAAAAAAGGCAATGTATGGACATCTCTTCTTTTGGGAGCAAATATGACAGGTAATGAATAAATCCTTGATCCTTCCAAAATGCAAAGAAAGATGAAAACAAGCATCTATGGAATATGATGCTATGACAAGAAAGCACAGATGGTATTAGAACTATTTTCCAATTAACTGTAGATGTTACATTTGTATTTCCCACGAAAATGAGAGATTATTTATTGATAACTGCAGTACATATTCAATGATTCTTCCTGAACGTTGTAATAGTTTAATTTTGGTCACCAAACATAGTATCTGAGTTGTGGATCAGGGAATTACTTGAAACTTTGAAATATAAAAAAATTGTCATACAAAAGTTATATGATATTGAAAATGAATTTCATAAATTTGGGTGCTCTGCTAGAGGCCATGTGAATGATTAACAAAGTATTGAAATGAAGTTTCACAAAGCACTGTTTGAAAGCTGCTTTTATAAAAGCAAGTCTTAATCAGAATATTTAAGCAGACTTGAAAAAATTTGTATACTTGCATATGACACAAATATAGGTTACAAAGGAAATATACTATCTTTTGGCATTAAATTTATTTACTTGACAAACTGAATACATGCAAGTATTGACATTTTGAAACATTTAAAGTACTTGCATGTGTTCAATTTATCAAGTAAATAAATTTAATGCTAAAAGACAGTATATTTTCTCTGTAAGACTTCGTTGATCTTGTTAGTACCATAAAAATGAAAAAGTGTCATTCAAGGATTTTGTCAATGTTGACAAAGATTGCTGATGTAGACATTTGAAAATGAAATTGTTGAAGTGAAAAATCAAATGTAAGAAACAATGATGATGCTTACGAAGTAAATTTTTTCATCAATACATGCTTTTCCTACATGTAGAGAAATTTTCAAAAAAATTCATATTTTTACAAGGGGCCTTGTTTTAGAAGCCATATCACATGTCAATTAAGATGTTTCCAAGATGATTGAGCACATCAAAGATACTGTTGAACAAGAAGCAATGGATCATTGATGTCAAATTTGTGTAAAAGACTTCTCTCTCTAATGGTATGACTACATTGTTTTTTTATTCCTGTGCATATCTAAGAAATAAACTTAAAGTTAAATTTTTATACATATACATATGAGGAAATATTTTAAAAATCCATGAAATTTACAATCTAATTAAAATAACATTAATTTGCATAACTTTAAACTTTGTTAAAATTTTTTCTACCTGTTACGCTTCAAATTATCAAGAGTAAATTGTATATGAAATTATTTAAAATATTTTTGAAAAAGAAGAATAAAGAAAAGTAGATTGAGATAAAGTACTTGGTTAAACTTTTGAATTTTAAATTTAAAAAAAAAAAAAAAATAGAACTTAAAAAGACAAAAATATATACTGTATATATATTTAACTATTTCAAGAATAATTGCAAAAGTGTATATTATCATCTAGAATTGAAAATATAACATAGATACATGAAAAAGTTGTTTTTAAATTTTAACAATTTTAAATATTTTTCTAATTTTTTAATATAATTTACATAAATTTAAATAAATATAAAAATATAGTTTATTGAAAATGAAGTGAGATGCAAGTAATTTAAAATTTAACAATTTAAATAATAATTTTTTAATAGGATTGGCAAGAAGGTTTAAGAACTCTTTTGCCAAATATGAATATGGGGTTTGTAAATCATACTTCTCAGCAACCAGCTCCATCGTTGGTGCCTCCTAGCCAAAAAAGTTTGTATTTTTAAGATTGATAAAAGAAAAATTAAGTAATACTTAATTGAGAATACTGTTTTAAAATAATTTACTTATTTTTAGCTTCTCTGTGGAATTCTGCATCATCAGAAATGTCCTGGATGGCACAGGATACATATTCTTCAGATGGTAAGTCTGATTTATAATTAATTAGTATTTAGTTAGTATTGATCATTTGACTATGTTTATTATTATTTTATAAGCTAATATATGTTGAGATATTGAAGTCTTTTATCTTTGATGCACAATGTTTTATAACTAAACTTTAAATATTTTTATAATTGTTCTTGTTATAGAAATTTATAATGCTTAGAAACTTTATGATGTCTTATTCAATTAAAGTAAATTAAATGTGAAATATTAAAATTTTTTATTACATATAATACTTGTTATTAAACATATTTAAAATACAGTGTTTCTGATTCTTAATCAAACTAATCTATGTATTGAAAATGAATTTATGTAGTAATTCATATTTAATGCTGCTTCATATTTTACTGTAATTAAAAATAAAAAGTAATAAAAACAATATTTGACTGTTATTCTTAATAGAAATAATTATAAGATTAATCTTTTAATTCATACTTTTTTGAATTAATAACATATTCTAAGATATTAAATCCATATAATTTGCAGTTTTTGTATCAGTTATGCTAGTTCAGTGATTTTCAATCTGTTTTAACACACACAACTCTAAAAAAGTACAGAACCTACCGGAAACCTGTCCATATCTTAGCCCCACAAAAGTTGAGATACCAATTTCTAATATTTCAAATTAAAAAATAAATACATATTTCATAAGTAGATTAACAGAACACACAACTGGAAGACACCTGATGTAGACAACATTCACAATTTCTGGTACAAAAAGTTTACATCACTGCACCAGGAACTAGCTAAACATATAACACACATCATCATCAATCCACAAGATATGCCAAAATTTCTTACTCAGGGCATCACCTACATGAAACCTAAAAACAACAACACTACAGACCCCAAACAATACAGACCAATTACATGTCTTCCAACACTCTACAAATTATTGACATCCTGTATCACAAACAAAATATACAAACATGTTGAAGAACACAACATTCTTACAGAACAACAAAAAGGTTGCCGTAGAAATCACAGGGGATGCAAAGAACAGTTACT